AAAATAGCAAGAAAACAGTGTCAGCCAAAAACTCAACAGTGAAAAGGCCTTACTAGCTGAACTGTCAGGGAAGTCAGACCTGGCTTGGTTGGTGGGGAGCAGTAACTCCCTCGTGACATTAACAAAAGGAGAAAGGATCCTCAGACTTGCTGGGAAGGGTAGGTTTTCTTTGTGAAGAAGATACTAGTTTAGGTGAAAAAATACTTAAAAAAACACCAAACCTACTTCAGGGAGCTCGTACAGCTGGGACCAGGTATACTCCTGACCATAGTCATTGCCTGTAACCTAAGAAGCTGTAGAAGGTATAAGAGATGCCGAAAGATTATGGGATGGGAAAATAGAAATTTGGAAGAGTAAATTCTAGGAACTTTGACAGCTTTTAAAAGTACTAGATAATTTTGTCAGCATTTAGGAGAAAACGCAATGGGCAACTGACCCAGGTCTGAAGAATAATTCAAGTTAGTGTCATTCCTTCCTGTAGATGCAGACGGGGACTCTGCAGACGTAATTGTGCTGGTTTCAGCTCGATTTCAGTAACTGATAACATTTCTTGCTCATTTTTGTGTGAGATAGCATTGTGACAGTATTGTTGTAGAGAATGTGAGCTTGGAACGAGCTGATTCGGTAACCCAGAATGTCAACCTCGAGGAGAATTTCTCATGGAAAACATATGTATGTCATGAACCGTAGTAAAATGAATGTAAATCTATCACTCTCCTTAAGAAATAGAAAATTGCCATGTCCATCAAGATAACTATTATCCTGAGTTTTATGTTTATTATTTTGTTTTTCTTCATTTTCTCACATGAGTATTTTTTTCTAGATCTGAGTAGCTTTCTGTGTTTTTGAGCTCTGTAAAGATGGTGTCATTCTCTGCTCTGAGAAGGGCTGGCTTTCAGCCCGTGCGCACCAGTACGGCCAGTTACTGCTGTATGTGTCCGTACTGCTTGGTAAAGAATGATTCTGAGAAGTGGTAGAGCTCGTTAGTCATGAGAGTTCCAGCGCATGTGGTTTGTCTCAGGACCCGCACATGGCGCTGTGGGAACCCGCTCCTGGCTCGAACTCTGCGGACAGAGCTGATGGGCTTACGTCGACCGACTATTGTTCCAGGTGCTGGGGAACCTGCTTGGTTTGTTAAGCCCCTTCTTGACTGGAGAGGGACTGGGGCAGCTAAGCTGAGAAAGACTCCCCCTCTGTTCGTCTTCTGAAGAAGTTACCTCATCCTGCTCACGGGGGGTGGGGGGAGATGCGTCTAAGCTCTGCAGTAGCTGGGGAGACTGGAGGGGAGTGTGAGTAGACACAGGCGTTGGAGGACGTAGCCCCGTGGTGCAGTAATGGCCCTTTAGATGGCTTTTTCAGTTTGGTTTTATTTGGCCACTTCCTCCGCTGTGGAAGGTAACGTGCCTTGTGTATTGAAGAGGTGTGAGGAGAGGGATGCTGGCAAACTTCGGCTAGAACCCGGGAGAGTGTGGCGAGGGGCAGCACAACTCCTGTTCTGTTACCCTCTCTTTCTTTGGCTGGTTTCAGAAGTATTGCTCCCTCCGCCCTCTCACCTCTTCCGACCCACTTTCTCTCTCCCTTGCCTGGGCAGACCAGGCTGCTTGGCCCAGGGCCCGCACAAACCCTGGTAGACTCGCTCAGTTTGTTTTTATTCTCCCCACTTTCTCTTTCTGTCTTTGTCCTGGATCGTAATTGTCACCACCCAGTCATTGTTTGTTTCCTCGTTGGCCAGTGTAGGGGTCAGCCTTGGGTGTGGAATGAGACAGACTTAAAACACGAGCTCCCAGTTCTGGCAGCCAAGTCGCCAGTCCCCACCCAGCTTGCTCCCTCTTCCCCACCTTCTCCACTCTCTTTCCTCTAGCTGGGAGCTCTTACCGCTGGCTCTTGGCATGTAGCCTGCCTCCAGATGGTACTGTTTTGTTCCATGAGGTGAGATGGGGATCAGTTGCACGTCCTTTCTCTTTAGGTGCCAGACAGCACATTAGTAAATTAATGACTAGTGACTGAATGGGGGAAGTCATTGGAAGAGTCTGCCGCCCTATTGTAAAGCATAGGGGCAATCCTTGTGCTATACAGTGGGTTCTTGTTTATTTTATGTATAGTAGTTTGTATATATAGTACCTGGTGACGGCCATGTCAAACAAAACATTATACCAACCCAGCTGTTCAAATTATTTGGAAATTTTAATGACTCATGAATGATCTACTTTAATTACCTGTTAAAGTTTTATTACATAGTTTATTTAAAGAATAACATGGATTATTTTTACTTGTTTGTGCATTGATTTGTGTATTAATTTACTGGTTCACGTGTAACTGTATTATTAACATCCCACTTGTTAAGTACTTTGAATATTGCGTGCTATCTTCTGAGACTTGCTTTTTTAATGCAACAGTATTCTGAGATTTATTCATGTTTATGCATAGTTCATTTTACTATGTATAGTATTCCATTATATAAATATACAGAATTTATCCATTCTCCTGTTGATGGACATTTGGGTTTTTTCCTGAATTTTGCTAGCATAAACCGTGCTCTTTGTGCACATCCGTGTGCGTATTTACTGATACAAGAGTTTCTGTAAGGTCTCTATTTCAGTGTGGAATTGCTAAGTTGTGGGTTATATTTATCTTCAGTTTAAAAAGGTAATGCCACATTTTCTCCTTAAAAGTGATTGTCCCATTTTTACCCACCTACAAGTTATGTATAAAGGTTATTTTATGCTTCATATCCTGGCCAACAACTTAAGAGTAAGACTTCCCAATTTTTGTCAGTTCAGTGGATGTAAAGTAGCATTTCACTGTAGTGTTAATTTCCTTTTCCGTGATTATTGGTGAAGTTGAACATCTTTTCATGTTTACCATTTGTGTTTGTTTTTCTATGAAAAACCTGTATCGTGTGCCTGTCTTTGGTTGGTTGTCTTTCCATGTTTATTCAGGGCAGTTCTTCACGTGTGCTAATAGTATTACTTACCTCTTGCTGTGTAACACAGCTGGTCTCTTTGACTCACAGTTTCCCAGAAGATTGCAGTCATCTCAAAGCTTTGACTGAGGCTGAAGAGTCTGCTTCCTGGATCATTCATGTGATTGTTGGCAGGCCTCAGTTCCTTGCCACGTGCACCTCTTCGTGGGGATGTTCATAATGTGGCATCTTGCTTCCCCCATATCGTGATCCAAGAGAGAAAAACTCAGGATGGAATCTGTAGTCTTTTATAACCTAATCTCAGATGTGAATACCGTTGCTTCTGCCCTATGCACTTGGTGGTGCAAACCAACCCTGGTACTATAGGAGGGGGCAACACAAGGGTGTGAATAGCAGATGGCCTGGAACATCTGGGGCCATCTTGGAGGCCGCCTACCATACTAATCCTTTGTCAGTTTTATGTGTTGCTAGTCTCAGTTCTTTCAATTTATCTATGATATCTTTTGATGAATAGTTCATTTTAATGTAGATTGATCAATCTTTCGTATTTAATGTTCTATCTAGTTTAAGAAATTCTTCCTTGATTCAAAGTAAAGATGATATTCTGTATTCTAAAAGTGTTACAGTTTTGCCTTTCACATGTAGGGTTTTTTTTTTTTGAAGTATAGTTGATCTACAACATTGTGTTAGTTTCAGGTATATGACAAAGTGATTCAGTTATATTTACTTTTTCAGATTATTTTCCATTATATGTTATTACAAGATACTGAATATAGTTCCTTGTGCTATACAGTAGGTTCTTGTTATTTTATATGTAGTACTTTGTATCTGTTTATCCCAAACTCCTACTATATCCCTACCCCCTTTTCCCCTTTGGTAACCATAAGTTTGTTTTCTCTGAGTCTATTTCTGTTTTGTAAGTAAGTTCATCTATATAATTATTTTAGATTCCACATATTAGTGATACCATATTTGTCTTTCTCTGACTTACTTTGCTTAGTATGATCTCTCATATTGCTGCAAATGGCATTATTTCATTCCTTTTTATGGCTGAGTAATATTCCATTGTGTGTGTGCGCGCGCACGTTTGTATCTATATGTATCTACCTATAGATACATACACACACAAACCACATCTGCTTTATCCATTCACCTGTTGGTGGACATTTAGGTTGCTTCCATGTCTTGGCTATTGTAAATATTGCTGCTGTGAACATTGCAGTGCATATATCTTTTTGAATTAGTTCTCATCTTTTCCAGGTATGTGACCAGGAGTGGGATTGCTGGATCATATGGTAAGTCTGCTTTTATTTTTCTAAGGGACCTCCATACAGTTCTCCATAGTGGCTGCACCAATTTACATTCCCACCAACAATGTAGAAGGGTTTCCTTTTCTCCACAGTCTCCTGCATTTATTATTTGTAGACTTTTTGATGATGGCCATTCTGACTCGTGTGAGGTGATAACCTCATTGTAGTTTTGATTTGCATTTCTCTGATAATTAGCAATGTCGAGCATCTTGTTGTGTGCCTCTTGGCCATTTGTATGTCTTCTTTGGGGAAATGTCTATTTAGATCTTCTGCCCATTTTTGGATTGGGTGGTTTTGATTTTTTGATATTAAGCTGTATGAGCTATCTGTGTATTTTGGAAATTAATCCCTTGTTGGTTTTGCATCATTTGCAAATATTTTATCCCAGTCCATAGGTTGTCTTTTCATTTTGTTGATGGTTTCCTTTGCTGTGCATAAGCTTTTGTTAGTTTGATTAGGTCCCATTTGTTTATTTTTGCTTTTATTTCCATTAATCTAGGAGAAAGACCCCCCTCCCCCGATTGCTGTGATTTATGTCAGAGTGCTCTCTCTGCCTGTGCTTTCCTCTAGGAGTTTTATATTATCTAGTCTTACATTTAGGTTTTAACCTGTTTTGAGTTTACTTTTGTGTATGGTATTAGAGACTGTCCTAATGTCACTCTTTGACATATAGCTGTCC